CCACCCCCGCGCGCCCACACACACACACACACACACACACACAAGCACGAGCCCATGTACAGCTGGTCACAGAAAGATTGCAATATATTTTTCAATGGATTTTGTAATGCAACTTGCTCACCGAGCGATTGGTTCTTATTCATGGATCCATAAATAAAAACCAATCGCTCGGTGAGTAGACTGCATTCGAAATCCATCGAAAAAAAAAGTTGCAATATTCGCAATACATACAGAGAAAGTTGCGAGTGTTGCAACGTTTCCGTGACCGGCTGTACATGTGCTTTCGACACGCCGAAAGCGAGTACATGCGCTTTCGACACGCCGAAAGCGAGCACATGTATGTATGTACACTGCACTGTACATGGGCTCGTGCTTACAGCGCCTCGCTACGATAAATGGCTGAATTTATAGGTGTGAAAAAGTGATGTTCTGACGAAATTTGTGTTGCATGCCATTTCGTTATTATTTGCTTAATTATGAAAATGTGATTTGTTTCGTACTTATCAAAGTCATAATTATCGACGAAAAGTAAAATTATCTTGAAATTTTATATGTAGAAGCGTATTTTTCACTCGTTTCAATAGGTGTCAGACCGTGTGTTTCTGCCCGAGATAACTTGTTTTATGTGCCTTTTACGATTGTCAAGGGAGAAAAGAACAGTTTTCGTCGATTTTTATGTTTTTAAGCGATCTCGTTATTTAGACAAATTGTATTTATTTACAAATGGCATGCAACATAAATTACCATAGGCACAAAGCCTAAATTAAGTGTCATTTTCTCACTTCTGATGTCACGACTCTAACTGGCCGCAGTAACTATTCAGGAGCCTTAATGTCTCAAAATCAAGAGATTTTAGATAACAATACGCCATTCACTCTCATCCTCACTCTCACTCTATCCTCCCCCCCCCCCACACACACACGCCCGCGCGCGCAATTTTATGAAAAAGTGGCATAAAAATCGAAGTAAATATTTTATAATCATGTAGTTAGATTCTGCTAGATTTTAGTTCTCTCACACATATCGTTTGAATTCCCTAACCTCTCACGTTCAAAGTGCTTGATTATCACGAATCACAACTCGAATGTTGTTTCCGTGCGTGAAGCACCGTGTGCAAAAATATCGGATGCTTGCTGAAGTGCCATAACAACACAGGATAGAGAATTCTTTTTCCTCTTTTCTTTATTTTTTTTGTGGATCTCAAACGTGAGAAGCAAGGGGGCTCACGAAAATCAACTCCAAAGGAATGAAACGTCTATCACGTCCACGTCATTCATTTTGGATAATTATGAGAATGGGCGAAAAACTAAAATCATAAATGTACTATTGATACATACACATATGCGCAACCACACGCACACGCACACACGCACGCACAAAAGCGTAATAAAAAAAAGATTTACTTCGACTTTTATGCACCTTTTTTTTATATAAAAATAAGTGCGCAAGCGTATATGGGAGTGGGAAGAGAGGGAGGGAATGAGGGTGAGGGTGATGAAAGTGGATGGCATATTGTTATCTAAAATCTCTTGATTTATTACAGAAATTTGATTTGATGCATTAACAAAATAAAATTTTAAATGGCTATAACAAAACTAGTCATTTTCAAGCTTTGTATCTACACTTTTGATTAATGAATCAAGAACTGTAACATAAAGTTTCAGCCAATTTCACCGAGGATCAAAATCCAATAATTTTGTGTGGCATTCTTTGTGCTTTTTAATATTAGTTTCAGAGAACATTTTATGATGTTAAAAAGTAAAAAAGGGCTTGTTATTTATTTATTAATGATGTTAAAAATTTAAATTTTCCAAACTAAAATTATATCGCAACATTATGAACAAGATAAAATAATATTCTGTGTTTTTGAAACTTCGAGATGCAACGCTCAAATTGCATTTCAAAATTTATTAACATGAACCGAATGATATTTTAATATGTTCAAATATATTTTGAATTGTCAAAAAAAAATCATCGATCACTGAGCATTACTTCTTAATTTCTTTGAATGTGTTGTTCTGTTGAAGTGAAAAGTCTTTTAGAGAGATCCTCGTCTTCAACGAGCTTGTGGCTTCTTTGAACATTTTATATCTCGAAAATTGTCCTTGTTTTTGACATATATTCATCACCAAAATACTTCCATAATGAAATTTCGTTCCGAAAACAAAATTTTATGCAAATTCTTTGCTCAGCAAAATTCAATATATTAAAAATTGCCGGAAGTATTTTTTCTCAGTTAAGCGTTTACTAGGTGGGGTGAAAAGTAACCTCCTTGGGAATGAAAAACATTTTTTTCTTATGCAGAATCTCGCCCAAAATATGGCGTGTTCGCTCAGTACTAATCTTTGTAGCATCTGCTAGCTCGCGCACCTTCACTTTCCGGTCAGCCAACACCATTTCATGTATTTTTTTGACATTTTCCTCGGTAACCGCATCGGAGGGCCTGCCGCTGCGGACTTCATCGGTAGTGGAGTTGCGGCCACCACGAAACCAATATTTGACGGTGTAATCTGACGGAGTATTAGCCACATAATATTTATCCAACTTTTCTTTTGTTTCCTTCGCCGTTTTGCCTCTCAAAAAATAATGTTTTATGAGAGAACGAAAATCGTTTTCGCAAACACGTCAACAACAATCAGCTCTCAAAACAAAACTAAGGGCAGTATCGCACTGCCACTTGGCATGTCTGCCTAAATATGAACGGACTACAAGGCACCATAAACTTTTTTGCAGTAGTGGCGCATTCTGGCGGTCAAGGAGGTTACTTTTCACCCCATCTAGTATTGTTAAACTAAGCGTTAATTTCAAAACAAGCATTATATTTATTTCTGAATTAAGAAAAGTAATTAAGTTAAATTTTAAACAGAGATTAGAATTTTATCAATCTAAAAAAAAAATGTTTCCTCGATATGTTCAAAGCATGCAGTTTAAATAAGCTATTATAATACTTTTTTATCACAGATAATATGCTTCGCATCTAATATAAATTTAATTTAATCAAATGTCATTTATTATATGTTTAAGATAAATGAACTGTACCGATAAAAAAACTTTGCACTGTCTATTACTATAAAAAAATATTAAAAATCTGAAATACTTATTTTTCGCATTAAGAAAAATCTTTTAAATTTTTGCATTTTTACCGTATACCCCAAGGGCTGAAATATATGTATAAATATAGGTAAATATAATCATAGGCGTAGGATGTATGACTCATGAAAAATTTACAAATAATGTTTAGAAATGGAGCTTTTAAGGTTTATAGATATTATTTTCAAAGATACCATAGAAAGATAACCCGTGATTTGCCATATTTTCATCCATTGCTAATGCCAACGTTTCATAAACCTCGCCTTCAATTTATCAGAGCGAGGAGTGCACTGATACTGAGTTGCTCCTCCGGAGAACTCCCTCTATAGACGTAGAGAAGGACGATGGTATGTCAAGAAAGGGGGAGGGGAATTTCCTTGACTTGTCTAGAGAGCAATCTTCCACTCTATATTTACATTATAATCTGAGACCCTATTAAAATTGTTTGTTATGTTTCTATATTTCTGTAGCCTCTCTGTACTTCCTCAGAAAATATGACATCATTGTAGCTATAGTAACTGTTTTATCGAATAGTATTTAATGTCTCAACGCTGTGTTCTGCCAATACTGATTGTATGATATATTTCAGCCCTTGACATCCCGTTGATGATCCTTCATGCGCACGTTGACTATTCTTTCGGTTTCATCGATATATACTTTCCCGCAAGAGTAAGATATTTTGAGTACTCTAATGAGTGGAGAGCTTTAATTTCGAGGATTTCTTAAGATTTGCTCGATTTTCTTTGAAAGCTTGAAAATGGTTCGGATGTTGTGTTTGTTCAAAATCCTGCCGAGATTCGGTCTATTATTCCTTTTATACAAAAAAAGAATAGAGAAAGAATAGAGAAGCTTCTTTTGTTTAATTCTTTCTGTGGTTGTTATCTGAGTTGTTCTTTGTCTCGTTATGTTTGCTGATTATCCTGTCCACATTCTTCTATTGTATCCGTACTGCTGTAAGATTTGTTTCAAATGGTTGAGTTATTTACAGATGATTAGACTACAGAACGAAGATGGAGACTCTCGTTTCGAAAAAAATATATACAAGGCTTGATAGACAAACAGGAAAATTAGCATTTTAATAAAAAAAAAATGGACTCCTCAGCAAAGCAATATTGAAACACGAATTCTCTTCCACTATATGGTCTGCCAAAATAAATTACAATATAAATTCAATATACAATATACAATAATATACAATATAAATTCAATATCCCTCTCAAACCAATTGTCAGCACCATAAAATCTCGGACATATAACCTCTCACGCTCTTAGCTCGCGATTACAACCTCTGATAGGGAGGATTGAATCACATATCACCAATTCGATGGATTTCATACGGAAAATCCAAAAACTTCGTCTGCATCCTGAAGATATATTGGTGAGTTTCAATGTAGAGTCATTTTTCATAAACATTCCAATAAAAGAAATTTTAGATATAATTAAAACCTTACATATTCCCAATAATATCTTCCTTTTATTGGGTCATCTAAAAAGTATCCACCGTTTTTTGTCACTAGATGTGTGTTGATGATCATATATTTAGTGACAAAGTACCGCGGATACTTTTTAGATGACCTAATAATTGAGCATTTCCTAATAACTACATGGTTTCCTACAACGACCGAATTCTACGAAAGACAGACTGGAGCGACTATGAACTCCCATCTCTTCTGTAATTGCAAACTCTGATAGTAAAACCTGCGGAGACAGATTTTGAGCAAAGCTTACTGCCAATTTTTGATTGCAAAAAGGCAATAAATTGTACACAGAGTTTGTACTATCAGACATTATCAGCAAACTGCTGGCAAAACATGTCAGCAGGCTGTGTTGACAAATCTATACATAGCTAAAGACACAGATGGCTATAGTTTTGTAATCAAAATCTGATCGTTTGCTGCCAATTTGCGCAAATTGCTAATACAGGGTTGGCCATATTCGACGGAAAGATCTGGCAACAACTTTTGACAGAGATGTTAGATCGAGTAACGACGTTTCCCATGATTGAAAAAAAAAACATCTTTCTGTCGAATATGGCCAACCCTGTACTTTGGTATCAGGGAACATCTTGGAATACTTCGAGAAAGAGGTCCTTCGTAAGGTGACCAATAAACCGGAAGTTTAGTTTCGTATATAGACGACACATTCGTAATCTGAAGATCAATGTGCGCACGAAGGAACATCAATGGTAGTGATGAATTTCATAAATTCTTAAACTTTCTCAACATCCCAATATTCGATTCCTTTCTAAATGTTCTTCATTGTTCTGATTGTTCTGTTTGCTTGCCGCAAACAAGGCTGACAATATCCTGGATCATTATATGTACAAGAAACCAACACACACTGACCGATACTTACATACCGAATCACACCACCACTTAGCACAAAAACAGTCGACAATACACTCACTTGTGCATAGAGCATTCAGTATCTCTGATAAAGTACATCTACAAACAGAACTTAATTATTTGAAACAAACTTTACAGCGGAACAAATACAAGAAGGATGTAGAACAGAAAAAAGAACAAGACACATAACAAGGAACAGGAAGAAGCCTCTCTTTCATGTGTAAAAATAACAACAGACCGAATCTCGGCAGGATTTTGAACAAACACAACATCCGAACCATTTTCAAGCTTCCAAAGAAGATCGAACAAATCTTGAGAAATCCTCAAGCTCAAAGACTTCTATTCAGTGGAGTACAAAATATACTTACTTATTCTTGCGGGAAAGTATACATCGGTGAAACCGAAAGAATGGTCAACATGCGCATGAAGGAACATCAACGGGCTGTTCATGTCAGGCTGGAACATGTCATTCAATCAGCATTGGCAAAACAGCGTTGAGGACATTAAATATTATTCGAAAATAATTATTCGAATAAAATGGCTACTATAGCTATAACGATGTCATATTTTCCGAGGAAATACAAAGAGGCTTTAAAAATACAGAAACATCTAGGCAATTTGAATAGAGTTTCAGATTATAATGTAAGTAGGAAATGAAAAACTATTCTCTTGACAAGCCAAGAATTCCTTCCCCCTCTTTCCTTATCATATCCTCGCCCTTCTACATAAAGGGAATTTTCCGGAGAAGCAACTCAGTATTAGTGTATTTCTCTGATGAAGTGAATGGTAACGTTCTGGAAAAGCTGGTATTAGCAATGGATGAAAACACGGCGATGTTTAGACCCGCAATGTTTAGAAAAAAACATAAAATGACACAGTAACTTATAAAATATATTTACAAAGACTTGTGAAGAGAAATAAGAATGATAGATATACATTGCTAAAAAAAAATGGATAATACTTTTGACACGCTCAAAATTGCACAATTTTCAATCATAAAACTTGATGAAAAATCATCGCAGATAAAAAAATAAAAAAAGCATTTTAAAGCTTGAAATTTGTACTTTGGCTGTTCTTTTGGCTGTTCTTTAAAAAATTCTTTAGTTCTATGTCTTAATAAAGCTTACGTTTTAAATAAAAAGAATCTTATTCGAAATAGATCTTAGTAGCTTAAATATATACATTATACTTTTTGTGTGAATTTATATATTCCAATTCTGCATACCACGCGTCAAAATATTTTTCCGGACTTAAATCGCATTCATAAGCAGAATCCAACAAGCGGGAGATTTGGGTTCGATTTCCGGCCGAGGTAATATTTTTCGCAATAAATTATTCATAGTTTTTAAATTTCATTAACATATGACATATTGTTAAAAAAGATGCTTATTAGCATCAAAAAATTATTAAATTGCTTTTACATTGTAATTTAATAAGTGATATTTCTGTTTCCGCTCATGAATGCGTTTTAAGTTCAAAAAACTGTTTCAACGCATAACATGCAGAATTAAAATGTATATAACTTCACATAAGAAATATAATATATGTCTCTTAAAAATATAAAGATACCAGATTTACGCATAGTAAAAACATGAAGAAAGAACAGACATGTACATATACACATATGGAATTATATGCATTAAAGAATTAAATATATTTCTTATATTGATCAATTTGTTTACTAAATTCAGTTGCAATGGTGCGAAAATGGAATTTAAATGAGGTTGCATGTCCAAGCAGCGTCTCTAAAATAAAAAAACCGCTTATATATACTTTTTTAACGCTTTGTGTGCTACTTGGGTGTGTGCTATGTAAATACAATATCCAGTGTTCTCTTAAGAAAACGCAGTATACATCTCCACATTAAATTATTTCCTATTAATTTTTAATATTATTTACTCTGTCTATGTGTGTGTGTGTGTGTGTGTGTGTGTGTGTGCGCGCGCGCGCGCACACACACACACACACTTATTGTTTCACGCACACACACGAGCACGCACACACATTAACATATACTCATATTATATTATTATTAGGTGTTGGAATTAATTCGTAGCGTTTTACAAGTGATGGGAAGTACTTTCATTAATGTATTTTTTAATGCTCATGTGAAATAAATAACATTCTTTCATTAAAAAACGCTACGAATTAATTCCAACACCTAATATATTATTTCCATATTATTTCTTATTTTTTGTAGCTGCTTCCTCAACAAAACACCATTTAACTATGTCAAATAAGTAACGAGAATACGTCATGACATGAAGAAAACATGACGGACGCTCTGTTCTAGAACTTACATGAAAGTGAAACTTAAAAACACCGACAACGGACGACTCACTAATCGACGTTCTAGAAACGAACTGAGGTTTCTTTTATGAAGTATGTCTTCAGTATTAAGCTGGTGCGAGAAAGAATACTCATTGAAACTTTTAAAGTGAAAGGACAGCCTGCGGGATTTAGAATTGAGGTCACCAGCAGTCAAACTAAGTATCAATATTCGCTTTTATAACTAAAATCTTTTTTTTGTGCACACAAATTTCACACACGATCATAATTTAAAGATTAATGCTACCACAATAAATAGTCACTGAATCGTGGCCTCGTTAATTTATTATTAATAAACGGCAAGACAAGGATATCGTTTCACGATGTGCGAGTTACGGATACATTTTAAATAATAACTATTAGAGAATTACACTGGGAAATGACAACTTAAATAATATACGTTCAATATGATTCTACATAATGAAAACTTTCTACTTCGAGTAATAGTCGAGATAAACGTAGATTAGCGTATGTCATAAATCGTACATACATATAATAATAGAATGTAGTACAATTCAGTTGTTTTCCCACTTATAAAGAGTGTCTCACTTTAACTATTATGCATTGTGTATAAAAGTATTAGGATATAAATATTTATCAAAAAATTAATTGTTTGCAAGATTTTTATGTTAAAATATACTACTAGAATAAAGTATAAAATACATGATTATAAATTATTAATTTTACAATATCTATTAGGGATGCACCGAATCGTAAAATTACTGGATATTGGATATCTAAAAAGAATGTGATACCGAATATCCGATCTGGATATCGGATATTTTCCAGATATGCAATACAAACTCAAAATTTATTCCTATATTTACTTTGTTATTTTTTGGTTAGTTTTTTGAACATGTATTTTTAATTGTATTATAAAATGTTATATGATGCATTTAAACTCAAAATTCTTTAATAAAAAAAATTTAAGAATATGATCATATAAATAATATACATTAATATGAGAGAGAACGCCAATAATCGATCAAAGTTAGATGTTATGAATACAATATATTCTTAATTTAACTTTAATTTAAATTACATCTGAGAAATTAAATTTAAGAATTAAATTAAGAATTAAATTTAAATTAAGAATATCTTATATCTCGTTTTTGGATATGCGTGTTGTCTGGGTGGTCCTCGAATCCTTCGTTGTTTAGCAAATATCGATCGTTAAAGTCAATAAAATATTTTTGTATGTCATTTATATATTACAACAGAGACAAATTTGTAGTAAATCAATTAAAAAATTAAAATAGATTAAAATGGAGATTAACAATAAAATTTACGTATGAATTATAAAGCCATCATATCTAGATGTTAGCAACGACAAATTTAAATAAGAAAAATAACGCTATAAGGACAGACCAAAGAGCTCGATATTTATTATTGCTACTAATTATAAGACTAATAAAGAAGAATGAGACTCATTAAGTCTCTCTGTATTTCTTTGTGAATTGCTACTCTCTGTTTGCTCTTTAATATGTAACATTTCAGAAATTTTCTTTTTATTATAATTACTTCCTATATCTTGAATCTTGGTACCTTCTCAATCAATAGAATAATTATAGTTCAAAATGTGTTGAGTAATAACCGAGTGTTTCAACGAATCACACTTAATATTACCTCCATGTTACCGCTATGTTTATTTTTATATCAATTCCAAATTCCCTCATTATCAATCCCACGAAACCTTGCAATCGATGCAAATTATTTTATGGACGTTTTGAAAATTTATCCCGTTTATCCTTGTGTATGTACTACTTTTATGAAGGAACTTAACTTGTTTAAACATCTATATTCGGTTATAAAAATGGGTTTATTAATAAAAGACGTGATGATATTTAATACGTTAGGTAAAAATGATAAAGTATTATAAAAAAATTTGTTATGGGATTATAGAATTCGTATTACACACACTGATATCTTCCTATATAGCATCGATTATTGCGGAAAATGTTCAAAAATGTTTCAACCTTCCATTAATTTCATGTGCAATAATTTTGAAAGGATTTTGCAATATGAAATATTTCTAAAATCTATCATATGCAATAAATTGAAAAACATAGGATCGATCTCATCAACTCCGATTAATTTTATCGATCGATTATTATATTGAAATGGACCATTTGTTGTTCAGTAGAATTGACCACGGTTGACACTTAATTGATCAAGCTCAATCGAAGTTTGTGAGACCGGGCCATATTTACATAGAACAAAAAATCATCATGATGTTAAAATGTCTTCAAAACCCTGCAAACGAGAATAGATTAAAATGGATTGAAATTTTTTTCTATCCGAATGCGTATTTTAAATAGTGAATACTTTTTTTTGGATTTAATTGGATTCAATTAGATTCAATTGGATGCAATTGGATTGAAAAACTGCATTTCCTATTCAAAATTTTGAATTGAACACTATTCACAATGTGTGTATTGTGCACAGAAAAAGCTAATATTATTTTTAGATTGAAAAGCATAGAGATATGCTCCAATTCCTATGAATGAATAAAAATGCATTCAGGATTGAAAAGCATTCATTTTAACATTCGTGAATCAATATTTCTGAAAATCTAAATTCATTTGAATTCATTTCAATTCATTCTCGTTTGCTGGTTTTCTGCTTTAAAATGGTTTTTAAGTAAAATGACGAAAATTTGAGGTGCCTCACCAGGGCCTACCCAAAATTACAAATATTTGCATAATTTGGATAAAATATTAAAACTACATGTATAGCTTAATGAAATAATATAGAACATACGATAGTAAATCAAGAGCTGTATCTTCATCGAACGAAAACAAGATGAGATGTTTATTTTTCGAGATTATTCAATCAGTAGACAATGATTTCAAAAATGTTTTAAAAAATATTTAAAAAATATTTTTAAAAACATTTTTTAAATCATTAAAAATAATGGGTTAAATCCGAGGGGGTAACCACTCAAAAAATAGGTGTACACTCGGACTTCGGACTTCAAGACTTCACCGGACTTCACCGGATTATCGAACTTCGAGGAATTCCTCGGACTTCTGATTGTATCGGAATTCGAAAGTGATTACTCCCTCGCTTGAGTCTCCTTTTTTTAATAAAAAAAAATGTTTATTGTAACGTTTGAAGAAACATTTCTTTAACGTTTAAAAATCGTTTATTTAACGTTTGAAGAAACATTTCTTTAACATTAAAAAAACGTCTTTTATGTAAAACTATTTGAACAAAATTAGAAAAAATATAGAATAATATAGAATCTTTTTTTAATTTATTTTTTATCAACAGTGCCTAAACCTTAGATAACTAATTTTATTAATTAATTTTAATTATATTTCAATCTTTTTCACTTATCGGCTTAGGTCCTCAGAGTTATGAGTCTTGTATTAGGTGTTGGAATTAATTCGTAGCGTTTTACAAGTGATGGGAAGTACTTTCATTAATGTATTTTTTAATGCTCATGTGAAATAAATAACATTCTTTCATTAAAAAACGCTACGAATTAATTCCAACACCTAATACTTTATTTGTCACGCCACTTATAACCATAGACAACATAGGCCGGAATCCATAGTTTCTTAATTTCAAGCAATATCTTAAGATACTAATATGGCTCTCTGATTGGTTCATGCAATAGCTTAAGGGAGTATTCTAGAAGTCGAATTTTTATGCTATTTTTGCGAATTTTTTAAAAATATAAGATAAAGTTTTTTTAGGACAGGATTTTTCTCTACATATTTGCACATATTTGAAAAACAGAAGTTTTTTGTTAAAAAATAATTGTTAAAATGCGTTGTATAAAATATTAAGTAACGTAGTGAAAAATAAAATTAGGTCTATGGCTCCCAGCTCTTTTGCTCATCTGAAACAAAAAAATCAAAGAAATTCTTAATTAGTATAAATCTGGCTATAACAGGTACTAGAACAAAGAAAAAATATTGAAAATGTTATAACAAATTTAAAAAATGTTATAACAAAAATTAAGTTTTGATTTTTGCTTTTTTTCCACCAAAATAATTGTAAAAATTACAAAAATATATATTTCGACTTGATCCTAGTACGGGCTATAGCCATATATGTGCTAAAGATGCACATGCCCGACTCGATTGGTTTTCGAGATATCATGGGAGCCAATTTGAAAAACATAGTTTCGAGAAAAACGCGTTTAAAATTTTTCGTATTGATTATATAGATAATTTTACTTACGATCAATCAGTTCGAATCCTCTTTTTTTTTCATGTTCTGTCGCTAGGAACTGTTAAAATGTATTGCAACATTTTCAGCTTCTTCATTCTTGTTCTTCTTATCATCATATTCTTTTGAAATAGGAAAGTTGATTTTTTCGAATTTCGCAGTTTTTTTGTGAAAACGAGTCGAAGATCGCTCCCTACCAGGTGCAATAACTTTATCAATTTTGCGAATTGAGCTAATTCCTTACAGACATATTTTTTATACCAAATACTTGTAAAATATATTTTTAAAAAATCGATTTTTTTTACCTGCTAGACTAGAATACCCTCTTAAGATCATCTCGAATCTTGAGCAACTATGGATTTTGCTTATAGTATTTCTAAACTGAGTACTGTCTTGAACGAAAAAAGATTCAGTACCAACTTCACGATGCAAAACAGGTCGGTATTCATAGTTGATTCTTACATTTAAGACTACCTTAAGTTAATCTTAAAATGTCAAATCAATCCGAGGACTATATTAATATCTTAAGACATTATATATTATTTAAGACTGTTTTAAAATAAAAACGGACTATAAATACGGCCCCATGTTTTCGCGTTCACAGTTATAGACTTTATATATCATGAAGATCCATAGACAGAGAGGGCAGAGAATTACAGAAAGACGCTTGCAAACTGAGCATACCATGGGTGCTTCCTCATATAAGTATCGTTCTATCTTTATCACTCTCTGAATGTCAACAAGAATAGAACGACGCTTGTATCGAGTTGTGTCATCAAATGGAAAGCACCCTATATAATCTTTCCACCATGCGAACTTGTACACACCATGTAATACTTTCACCATATGGTTACACCGCTTCAACTTCTTAATTAAAAAGATAATTTTCAGTTAACGGAATACAACCTTCGATCATCTAACAATCTTTCATTTTAATTAAATTACCATACATATATTATACAAGGAGCTCAAAACCCATACAAAAATGGATAAGAGTCTTTCTTTTATAAAGTGATACATAGAATACAAACTATACAAATTAAACTAGATAGTAACAAAATCGTTTATTTAACATTTATCAATTTGTGATGTTGAGAAAATATTAGGAAAATCATACTACTTATGTTCTAAACTTTTTAAAAAGAGGATGCTTATTTGCCGTCGATGAACCAGGAGCTTTCTTATATTCGTAATAAACAGTATCATCCGCTCCCGATATTGACATCATCGTGCCAGCTTTACGTATAATCTGAGAAAAAATTCATTATTACTTTGATAATGATATATAGATAATATGATAAAAGAAGTTATAATAGTCATTGACTTTAGGGGATACCCTTCCATGATCTTGACATATTTTGTCACAAAAAGAATTGTGTGTAGCATCCAGAAAGTTTTAGCCATCGCTTGTCATTCGTTAAAAAGTTATTAATTATTAATGAATAAAAATTAATGGTAAAAAGAATAAATATTTCTCTTTACACAGTCAGCCCTAAATTATTTGGGAGACAAAATGAGTTTAAAACATGATGAATTTCATGTTTTTATTAATAAAACGATTTTTTACATTTAATATTACATAATAATTAATAATTATAATCGTAATTGTTAGTTATTAGCACTTTGAGTAATTCCATATTACTAAAAAATAATCTATGTAACTTTAATTCGATTTAATAATCGGAAATTATGCCCGTCACTATTTTAAATTTTATATAAATCATTAAATTTTGAAGTCATTCATTATTTTGAAATCCGTATTTATTGCTAAGCCTGCAGTCGAGTTGCACATTTTGACCGATTTTCCTTACCATCATCTCTACTTCTTTCGTTTCATAGTACTTAGACTGCGCATGGAGACATAGAACGATCGAGTTCAAGAACAATATTAGCTATAAAGTGGGGAGCGCAGACTCTTGCATAATGCATATCACATGAGGTACAAGAAAATGAATCAATCATAGTCCTTTATTTCCTTCCTTTCCGTGAAATAAAGGATTTATTGATTTTCTTATGCCTCATATTTTATGCGTTATGCAAGTGTCTGTGCTCCCCGCTTAAATCATACAGAGCACTGGACTTTGAAAGAGCTATAGGACTTTGAAACATATTGCCCCACGTTTACGGTTTACAAAGTTTTATTATTATTAATATTATTTGGATGTTAGAAAATCAAAAGTAACACTTCAAAATAGAACAGGTATGTTGACTAATTTTAAGTATTTAAAATTTTTTTTTTCAATTAAAATTTTTTTGAAATTAAGATTTTTTTTTAGTTACACACTTAGTTAACATATCTGTTCTATTTTAAAGTGTTACTTTTGATTATAAAGATTTTAGATTTTTATTTTTGATTTTCTGTATTTTGATTTACAGCTAATATCATCCTTACTCGATTGTTCTATGTCTCCGCAGTGCTATGAAATAAAAGAAATAGAGATGATAGACAAAAAATTGATTGAAATATGCAATCTGGCTCCAGATCTGTTACACTATTGTCATTATTCCAGATGTTTTTTTTCAACAAGATAATATTTCCTTCCAAAATTATATTCAGATTCTCACTCAAGTATCATCCAGATGTATCATTTTATTCTGTTAAACAATAAAATGAACGATACTCGTAACGTAACACAGTTACGGAATTACTAATGATTAACTTCAAGATTTAATGAAAGAATCTAACTAAAAGAATTAATTTATACGAAATTTGAAACAACTACCGGCACGATTTTCAATTATTAAAATAAATTAAAACTTTATAATTTTTAATAAATTACACAAGCCGACAAAATTTGGGGGGGTGGGGTCTTGTGCTTTGAACTTTGAAAGTACAAGACCCCCCCCCCCAAATTTTGAAAGATGTTTCCGTAGGATTTTGAAAGCGATTATGTTGTTCATTTTTTCGCATTACCCTCCGTTTTTTAAATAATCACAAAAACAGTTTTTTCCGCAAGTAATTTTTTTATGAATTTTTTTCGGCTAAACAAGAAATAATATCGAGATCTATTTTATAACATTTAACTCAGAAATGTATACAACAATATTAAAAATATTTTTTTGATTCTTATAAAAATGTTTTATGCAAACTACAAACAAAAAATTTTGGAAAAGTAAAAAACCGGAAAAAATTGACAAATTTTAAAATATAAAACTAAATAATTCGAAAGAAAAAATCGTAAAAAACATCTGACAATTTATACTTATAGCTTTTAATATTGTTAGAACATTTCTGAGTTAAATGCCATAAAACAGACCTCGATATCATTTTTTGTCGGAAAAAATTAATAAAAAATAACTTCCGGAAAAAACTGTTTTTGCAATTATTTAAAAAACGGAGGATAATGAGAAAAAATGGACAACATAGTCGCTTTCAACGCATCAAAATTTATGTCTTGCGATAGACGGTGCTGACATATGTTAGTTAAGGACAGATGCGTTTGAGTAAGACAGAACGATATGTAATATAGTGTAATGAGTCAAAGATGTTACTATTATCGAATTTGAAATTTAAAGTCTGTACTATCGACCTCAATCAAGTTTGGTAATCTCAAGTTTAGCATCCCCTAAACTCTAATGATATGTAACATTTGTCTAACAGATATTACTTGCATGCATGCACGCACGCACCCAGGTATTTTTCATTTTAATTAATACACTCGATTAGCTTGAACAAAAAGCACTTCCAAAAAAAATATTTCATATAAAAATTGTAAAATTTTAAGTGCTCATTTCACAGTAACATTAGTGTGACTTTAGATTTATTCATTATATCCGACTTTGACAACTTTTCAAAACACTATAATAAAATTCTTTTTTATAAAGTACTTTGCGAGTTATGAGACTTGAAAATCACAATACTTCCGACATTAGCATTGTCCGAAATGTTCGATGGTTAAAACTTTTTGAATGTTGTTCAGAGCACCGACAAAATATTATTAAAGACCGACAGCCTTACGGCAGTAAGTTCGCGTTCTTGTGAATATTGAAGTGATTAAGAGTTAAAAATTGATAATATTGTACTCATTTTGTGATTTATTATTATAGTTTAATAGATGTATATTTATGCATTTAAAACTCAATAATACTCGATTTTTCTTTAAAATTGTGATTTTAGTGTATCGTTAAAGTTCGATTATCAACAGAAATAACTGTTGAAAAAAAATTGTAATTTTTCTGCAATATATAATATATATAATATATAGGATATTATAGTTTTACAAATATGCATATTTATTTATGGAACATTCATGTAATAAAAAATCATGAATTTAATAATGTACGAGGCAAATATATATGTTAATAATAGCAAATTTATATCAATTGTCGATAATGTCAACGTTCTCCACTAAGCCCTTGAGGCCCTTTTTATATCGCCGAAAATTTGCCCAGAGTTGACGGTCTTTAATAATATCTCGTCGGTGTTCAGAGTCATGACCTTGACATTACTAACATATGTCAAGATTAAGGACATTGTTCCCCTTATATTTATTCTGCATAAAAATGAAATGTACGCATAGAAATCTTTTTAATTACACTTCACAAAAGTCTTTCACATAAAATACAAATAACTTTATAAAGAAATTGTTTAAAGATATATCCACACAAACTTGCATAGCCGCATAAATGTATACACAAAAAAAATTATCCAATCACATTTTACGTGCGTCTTTATAGGAGAAATGGGATTGAATAATTTTTTCTTTATGCATATGTTTATGCGGCTATGCAAGTTTGTGTGGATGTATCCTTACTCTCGACATGTCTACAGCCTCTACTGCTACATTGTAGATTGCTTTCATTGTAGACGACGCTTTAAAGAACATTTTCAGCTAAGTTCATATGAATAGTACTCACTGGTTTTGATCCTTCGCCTGGTATTCTTTCTTCATCCGCATCAGTATCGCTAGCTGTTAACACCTGCTGCAATAATTGACCTTGCTCGTCTCGATTTCCATACATCAAATCTGGCTCCTAGAAAAATTACAATCATAATCGTATTCTATTGTTGAAAAATTTATATACATTATATTTACTTCTATCCTGATGAATTACTGAGCAAAAATGTTTCAAATAAACGTTTTACTGTCTGAAGGGAGAATAGCGATAAAATCAATTTCCTTTTTTCATCAATTCGCGAGCAGGTTAAATGCCGATCGGCGCGCAAGTTGGTGAAGCAAAGGATAGGAACAAAGTTGAAAAAGGCCGAAATGTGCAAATAAGTCTCAGCATTGAATTATATTATCGTTTATACTTTAATTATGGAAAAAGATTTTTTAATCTGTGTGTGTGTGTGTGTGTGTGTGTGTGTGTGGTGTGTAAAGGCAGTTAGAAAAATACTTTGAAAAATAGTCGGTAAAACACACACACGACTTTACGAACCCCTTAAATAATATACTATGTATAAAAATAAAAAAAGAAAACATTGCAACATTGCACAATCATTTTATCAACCATGTCGTTACCTCATCCATGC